ATTTGAACCCAGTTTTACTGTAAGTGGAATAGGACATATACCAAATACACACGTATTCCGTTCATACTTTCATTATATTTGTTTGTTATTTATATTTAAAGTCTCATTGGCACCTAACAAATCGAAGGATCAACTCAATTCTTTTGGAGCTGTGTAGCAATTGTTTGCTGTGTGATTTGACTTCCTGACCCACTGAAACTACCCGAAAAGAAATAACAAACTAAACATTCTAGCAATATAATAAAAAATACATGTTCGATATTTATAAACTGCAAACTTAACCTAAGAGGGGAAAAGAACAATGTGGTATGCTAATCGAAAAGTTAATTTTATACTGAAAATATTCATATTGACTAGAATATAAGAAGAGAAAAAATACAATTTTGGAGAGAATCGCTTCTGCGTCGTACAACTGAGAATACAGATCGTAAAGTATATTGTTATCAGGCGTACCAACCTGGGCCAAAGCTCAGTGAACACGTACATGATTGCCAAGCGCGTTCATTCTAGCAAGAAATACTATTATTTATGTCTTTCGTCTTTATGGGCTCAATTCACTTGCGTCAAAAATATGACAAATCGGCTTAGTATTTCTCTCTTTTAAATTAATCTAAAAATGGTTACATCATAAAAGTATTTTTATAGCAATGCTACATAAAAATACTTAACAAATATTCAAAGTTATTCAACAATTAACTGGCTACGTGGCGTTTTAGGATTTGAAAACATAAAACCATAGGAAAAATCAAAACGACTATCGGGAAAGTTTGTTCCCGATAAGGCTTTTTTTGTTTTAAGACATTCTCTGCTCTGTGTTTAACCCAAACTCACTCCTAAAATATACATCAAAACAGACGTCTCAATGTGCGGATTTGTAAACTGTCTTTGGTTTTTCGATTCAAACCATATAAATCTAAAAAGATGTAAAATAATGTTAAAATTAACATTTTGATTTAAATTTTAACTGTACCTTAAATTATATTATAACGCAAAAATAAATTAGGTTTTTAAATTTAAAGTAGAGTTTTTTTTTTTTAGTGAGAATCAGTATAAATATAATCAGCAGGAATTGCCATTGCCTGACGAGGTTTCAAAAAGCCTTGAGGAAATATGACACATGATAAGTATTAAATTTGACAAATGCATAATGCTAATGCAAGAGAGGAAAATGCGTAACGAGAACAACAACTCCAATAATAGTTACTACCTGTATGAAAATAGCATTAAGTGCAAATACAGTATGATAATAAGAGTTGAGTATCTAAATTTATTTTGTCTGGTTCCGTATTCTAAGATTACCGACATGCACATTTCTACATTTTTGTCATATATTATAAATAACATACAAAGGAATGTTATCCCAAAAATGACGCTGAAAAATTATCTATATCTATAAAAGAGGAAGTATGTATGTATATACCCTATGGACTACGAAACCGCTCGACAGATTGTAATGAAACTTTCAGGCATTATTCAAGGATGGTTTGTGTGACGTTTAGTGCAGATCCGTCAAAAGAGCTCCGTCCCAAAGGGTTTGAAGGGAATGATCCAATGTCGGACTTTTGGAACTACAATGTACAAATAAATATAATTTAAATGCAGATTTTTACTTTCACCGACTGTTTTTTTAACCAACTCCCCCACTACCAACAAAAGGAGGAGGTTCTCAATTTGTTTGTGGCAATGTTTTTTTTATGTATGATCACGAATTTAACAACTTGCTGCCTAAACAGAATCATACTGTAGTATCAAAAATATTTAAGTATTGCGACCATTTCAGCTGTCGGCTCCTCTTTAACCGGTTGAAAACTAGTAATATCAACAATCACAAAAACATTTTTGTTTCTATTTTTTTCCAAAATTTGTTTTTATGAGCTATATTTAATTTACGTAACTGGTAAAAGTGCTTTTCAGACTAAATATTTATTATTTTGTGTTTTCATGTATAATATCCTGGTGGGATATCCCAGGGATCAGGATTTGGGCGGACATAGGGATATCCCAGGGAGTTCCCCAGGATATCCTGAGGACATTGCGAGATATACAGAGGATATCCCCAGGACATTCCAAGGATATTCTTGTGTTGTGTGGGTAGGGAAATAGGAAAAACCAGGGATACATACAGGCTTTTAAATTTAAAAAAGAAACAAACAAAACTAAGAAAGAAAACAAATGAACACTTGCCCATAAAGGGGAGAGGATGAGTTAGAGCGAATCTCATTAATCCCTATCGCTCAGGGTGGTATTGGGATGGGAGTTGTGCTGTTATAATTGTAAAACACAAAATACTAAACGAAACTTAAATAACTGTACCTTAAGATTTCAATAGTTGCCTTCAACTTTATGCCAATTACTTGAGTTTTTATTATTTTTTTTATGTCCTCCATTTTCTCTGATACACCGCCAAGTTTTTTCCACATGGCACCAACAGTCACTTGGCGAACAAAGAGAGCAGAACAGAGTCCAAGCGCCCAAGTGTTGCTCAGTCCACAGGTCGATCGAAAGAGAAATCCCAGGAACCAGTTTGCTCTGCTACTATATCGTCAATGTAGTTGTCGAAGGTAAGATCTGTCACAAAGGTAACACCCAAATCTTTGACCACTGTGACTCGTTTCAACAAAAACAACTGACCATCTAATTGCATATTGAAAGTGGTACGGTTCTCGTAATCTGCCGATTGCCGAATGTCTTTAATACTTTACTTTACTTTCTTATAAAATGGCGACCATTCAAAGTAGGTATTTTAAGCCAAGTATGTGTCATGATTGAACACTTGGCAATATTCAGGGACATGTTGTTGGAAATGCACCACTCTTTAATTGAAGTTAAAAGTATTGTTAGGTTTGTTCGTTTATTGTTATTTTCATTTTAATTTATTTTCTGTACGTTAAGTACTTACTTGGATACTTGATACTACTTGGATACTTGTCTTCTTTATCTTTGACCGTGATTACGCATAGATTGCGTCAAATTTTATAATATCTTACAATCCTACTAATCCTACTAATATTATAAATGAAAAATAAGTTTGGATGTATGGATGTATGGATGTGATGTATGTTTGTGACAAGTGAACGCGAAAAATACTGGTCGGATTGGGCTGAAATTTGGCATGATGATAGCTCACATTCCCGATTAACATATAGGCATATTCTTATTTCAAAAATCATTTCGGGCTCCGCCCCAGTGGCTCTGGAGTTTCCCATGTTAACCTTATGAGAAATGGAATTATTGAATCTTAACAGCTGTTTCAATTAAACAAGATGGTTCTGTTCTATGATGTCCAATAGCATTAAAGTTACAAGGATTACCAACAGGGCGCAGCACTATTATTTCGAACACAGAGGATACGCGTCCGGTAACCAGACGTGGACTAGGCGTCCGGTAGTGACGTCACCGGGTTGTGGGGTCGCCCTTTAACTCGCTTGGTGTAGACATGCAGGCGAGTCGAGCAACGGGCGAGTTGATAAAAAGAGGTCAGTTGAGAGCGAGTCGAGTGATTTAGTTGAAAACCGAGTTGCTCGGCCCAGTAGCTACCCCCACCACCACGATTTGCCCGCAAAACATCTGTTTACTGCTCTCAAGTGAGTCCAGCGACCACAGAATAACAATATTTTTTGTTATTTTGTGGTCGCTGACAAAGAGTCGATCACAACGATCAGTATTTTTGGGGTTAGTTCAGTAGTGTATGCCTAATCACCCTCAATACTAAATGGTTCAGTTGAACAGTTGGCCCTGTGTTGCATTGTCTTGCTGTTCGTAAATCTACTCACTCTTATAAAATTCAGTTTTCAAAATTGTTGTACAACTTAAGATTTACAGTTCTACTGGAACGATTTTATTAATCAATGGGTTGTTAGAAAGCTCACTCCCTAAAAATGTTTTCTATCAGAAATACATTGAAAACAGTGTTTTCACATTTTTTTTATTTGGAGGCAACTTTTGGTTGCCTATATATTTTATTTTAAAGAAATGCAGTACCTGTATAGTAATTTGAAACAAATCTTATTATTTTAGAATATCACCTTCCACTTTGGTCTATCGTATAAAAAAAAAAAAATACTTTTAAGCAACCCCTGCCTGAATTAAATGGATGATTCAGTTTTAGTTCTAATAATCTAATTCAGTGATTTAATTAATTTATAAATTCAGCATTAAACTCTTGAAAGTCCCATTTTAAACTCAAACAACATTTAACACGAAAGCTACGGTATCCGGAATACCCTACACCACAGAACACAGATAAATTATAAAAATTACTTCTCTCCTTCTCTGTGCCTACACTGTCATCGTTCGAAATAGGAATTTTAGGAATGCGTGTAGACAGTCTAGTCAAGTACCGGGCGAGTTGAACAAATCAACAACTGGGCCTAGTAACTGGGCCGAATAACTCGTCTGACATACTCGACCCGTGTAAACCAGGCTTTAGTGACGTCAGCAGTTAGTGACGTCAAACGGCACCTGAGAAATCTTCCGTGTGCCCCACCGCTATTATTTCTTTTACATTTATGACAACAGCTAATTTGCAGCCAAAAGGTAAGTGAGCGTAGCGACCGAACTTCAACCTGGAGGCGAGTTAGCGTAGCGAACGAGCTAACCTGAAGGCAAGTGAGCGCAGCGAACGAGCTCCAACCTAAAGGTGAGTGAGCGTAGTGAACGAGCTCCAACCTAAAGGTGAGTGAGCGTAGCGAACCAACTTCAACCAGGACGTGATTGAGCCATGCGAACGAGATAATCTTGAAAATTAAGAAGTTAAACGGGGCAAAGCCCGCGGGTTACAGGTATTAAAACATATATTTAAACACATAAATACTAAAGGCTAATAATTAAACTAAAGTTAATATAGCACCATTGAATATTTAACAATTAATAGCTGATCAATTTTTATAGTGTTTGTGTAGTTATATCATATAAACTGGTTAGTAGTAGTCTATGGTGGACAACAATTTCAAAGCCTTTGACTATCCGTGCGTCCGTCCGTCAAATAACGTCAACGAGAACGAACACCACAAGCAAGCAAAGCAAACAAACATGGCTGAAGCAGAAATTAGCGATAAAACTGTGTTTGAAAACAATATAGGCGAATTAGAAAACAATTCAATGGACATGGAAATGAATAGTGTATCTAAACCTAGTAGTAAGCAGTGGGTTAAATTAAATGTTGGTGGTACGTGTTTTTTGACGACTAAAACAACTTTATCAAGAGACCCAAATTCGTTTTTATATAGACTGTGTAAAGAAGACTCCGACCTGATATCTGATAGGGTAATTAAAATATCCATTATAGCCTACTTACAATAATATTATTTTATTATTAGATTAGTGAATTCCTTTATTCGTTCTTCAATATTTAAGTATGAAGGGCCTAACCAATAACCATGCAAGTTAGGCTACTGACAACCTAGCCTAAGCTAGGTTTGACCTACTGTAATTGAAGCCAATCAACAATGTAGCCTAACTTATGTAAAATGGCTTTGGTTACCGTTTCTTAACCGGGCTATGCTAATACCGATTGAGGCTATCGATTCAATTAGTAAACCTTCATTCCATTTTTTCATTATCAAGTTTGGTTAGTAAACTTAGGTTAGGTTATGACAGTTTAGTTTTATAATTGATAGGCTATAGTTAGCAATATCATGGTTACTATTCACACCCCCCAAATCACCTAAAACGTCCTAGAAGACGTTTTTAAACTGTTCCTAGACACCAACACTAACTTACAACTTTCTCAGGCTAACTTACTTACAATTTACCTGGCAAGTTAGGCCTATCTACAATGGGATATGATGTAATTTTTAGATGTCTATTTCAAATTTTTTCACGCTGAATCCAAAAATGCAATCAGTTTTTGTCGGAGAGATTCCCAAGTGGCCTTAAAACGAAGGTTAAGATTACGAATATAAGGTTAAGTTAGTTGAGCGGTAGGCCTACTGATGGTAATATGGCGTGGTGGAATGGGTCCGTATGTGGACTCAGAACTAAATGAGGAGAGCAAATAGTTGTTTATACTTAATGCGGAATGAAATCAATTAGTTTTGAAACCAAATAAGTTAGCCTAATCAGCATGTGGGTAGGTAGGTCGGGTTTTATGCGGATTCGTGATTGTATTTAGGTAAGTGCTTTGAAGTGAGGTTAGATTAGGAAGGAAAGTTTAGGTTATTATCAACCGACTCATTAGGCCTAATTTATGCTACTTCAAGACTGTTTTGCACAATTTAAATAGTGGTTGAAATACAATGAAATAAGTTAACAATAACAAAAAATCTTGCAGTCTGGAAGTAGCATAAATTAACCCTAGCAGTGGCCAACCGTCGTCTGGTTACGGTATGACGTTGATGCTTAGAATGGCCAAAGTCGTCTGGTTACGGTATGGGCCGAAATTTTTTTAACGGTAAAAAAAACACTTACAATCAACTCAGATTAGAATAATATATATACCATTCGAAAGATCACATTCTGAACTTTCATTTGATTACATAAACAAACCCTGTAGCAGGTATATAACAATGTCACGACGATTAGAAATCAAATGAAATTTTGGCGCGGTACGACTTTTGCAGCCGACACTTGGGAACTGGCAAAACACTTCTTGTTTGGCATTACCCTGCTCGGGTAATTTTCGTCTTGGGATGTTGCGGGTGATACCACTGGATAGCCATTGATTTTATCTTCATTGTGGTAGTGATATTTATAACTAAATATTGATTGCACAATCGGTACGATTTTATGAAAACAGCTGTTTTCGAAATTTCTAACAAATGGCCAACAGTCGTCCGGTGACAGTATGGAAAATACGAATTATATACAGTGAAAGTTATTATTACTAGTCATATAGTATATCATTTTGAAGAGGAAGAAATTTAGATTCAGAGAGTGGCAGCCCTGCACTCAGGGTTATTTCTGTATGCTCGCATGTAGACAGTGATGTAGACGACGGAAGTGAGTCATTACTCCCACAGTCTGTCAGCTGTCTTGTATTGCCATTGTTTGTTTGTGTTGTTGCCGTAATAGTTTTATCCGCGATTTATTACTAAATATGTTATTAGTTCGTAGTGTTAGTGTAAGTGAAGTGTTGTGTGTGTGTATAACAGTTATCTTCATGCATAAATATTACTGAATTGTGTGGAATAGTGTTCATAAAAGGTTGTATTTTGTTAGCATCATGTCCTAAAATGACGATTCTGACATTCAGAGATTGTTGTACCTATATAATGATATACCCAAGGTGTTATACATTTTTATAAAGGTAAATGAATACACTACAACATGTTTATAATGGTTCGGGGGTAAACAATTTTGTAAAAAAGTTATAGCCTATACTAAATAGGCCTACTACTGTAGGCTATTTTGTTAGCATCATGTCCAAAAATGACGATTCTGAGGGACAGCGACTACGTGTCACCTCGACAACCAGTCACCCCGACCAACCGTCACCTTTTAAGACAGGTTTTGAGGTGACACGTTGTCGCGCATCGTTTCCGACTACCCGTCACCGTTTGAATGAGGTGACAGGTAGTCGGAGTGACAACTAGGCGCAAGCGTGCGAGGTGACAGGTTGTCATGTACGAAGGCGTCTAGTCGTCACCTCCAAAGAGAGGAGGTGACACCTTGTCTGGGTGACACCTAGACGCGAGCGTGAGAGGTGGCGGTTTAGCGTCGATGCAGCCGACAACTTGACACCGCCTCAAACCGTCACTCCGATAGTATCATCACTTTTAACTAAAAGTACATATATGAACAAACTAGCAGAGTAGCCGTCCTTCGTACGGGGCTGGCGTATACGAATACAATGCTTATTGCAGTTATACTCATGCTTTGCGTTTATTATAACAAATCTAAAATAGACATAATGTTCTACCACTGTACCTAAATAATAGAAGAAAGTAAATTTTCAAACATTCGCACAATACCGCAAATTATTAATTAAAAGAAAAATGCATACGTAAATGTAAACAATACTACTTTGCAATTTTCATTGTGTATCACAGCTTTTTGTTGCTGCTTAATTCAAATTAACTGTTGTCATAAAATAAAAAAATAAATAATAATTTAGTGCTGCACTCTGTTGGTAAATCTTTTAATTTTTAATGGTATTGAATATCATAGAACCAACCAGTTTAGTTGAAACAGCTAACTAAATTCTGTAATTCCTTTTAAATATGAATACTATTCTTTTCTTTAATCATACTAAATATTTTTAATGTGAAAGTTTGCGTGTTTGTTTGTTCGTTTGAAGCTCAATCACGCACTAACTACTTGTCGGATCAGGCTGAAATTTGGCAGGATGATAGCTCACATCCTCGATTAACGTATAGACATATTCTTACCTCAAAAATCCTTTCGGGTTCCGCTCCAGCTAACCCGAAATATGTTTTTCATGTAAAATATGTTTTATATGTTTTTCAACTTTACATCACTCGTGAAGGAGTTGTATACATCACGCTTGGGATAGGGAAGTTTAACATGGCGGGTTAGGTAAAAAATATACCTCGACGTTCAACGCTAGAAATCAGCTGTGTGCTTGAATTTTATTGTGTTGATTTAAGAATTTTCCTAACCTAGCTTTTGTTTGTAAAAGAACCTTACTGTTAGAAGATGAGTGAAATGGATAATACAAAATATTGAACGTAACCCCCTGTATATTTTCGGGTCAGGTAAAATTTTGTACGTTACACGTTACGCAAGAGCGTGTTTACATCACTTAGGTGAATTATGCAACTAATGTAAATAGCTATAAATGGGTTTCATTACATCACCGAGTGAGTTTTTTTTTCAACTTTACATCACTCGAGAAGTAACGAAGTTATATACATCACGTTTGGGATAGGGAAGTTTAACATGGCGGGTTAGGTAAAATATATTTCAAGCTTCTATATCAGATTAAGACAGAGACATTCATGTAAAAACGCTCTTACTACACTTGTAATGTAAATAGCTATTGTAATATTCAGTAGATTAAGACGAAGTTAAAAGGTTAGTAAAAGGTTAGTCAGTTTTGTTGGAAGAACAGAAATGCCTCAAGTTCAAATAAGAAATATTTATAACGGTAGGAGGAGACAATTAATAATAAAATATCTTATCTGTATGAGGAGAGTAGAATAGGCCTGCTCTAACAGATACTCATCCAGATACACATTTACTTGGTAAGATATATGCCAGTTCTGCTATGCAACTTACTTTAGAAGTGAAAAACATACGAAGCACATAGTGTTGTCTTGGTGGTAAAGTTAACTTGCTTAATGTCAGATCAAATTAATGCATACAAGAAATGTTTTACTTCTGACACTAACAGATCGAGATATTTCAAACATTTACGAAACCATAATAATGCCTTGACTGTGATAAATTCAAGTTAGATTATACCAAATCTTGGCGGACCTTATGTCTTTATTGTAAACTTTAGAATTACTCACTCTACCTCAATTGAAAAAAAAACGCAAATGGGTCGTTTAAGCAACTTTCAATGGTGTTGTTACTTTAGCCTATTCAAAGCAGATTATGGCTGTCCAGTTGGTAACCCAGAGTTTGTGGGTAAAAAATGGAGCACATGAAAGGGTTGATATCACCATCACCCCACTTTTCAGGATTCTCTACGGAGAAAATTCGTTTGATCAAGGGGATGCCTCAATACAAAGAAATAAAATGGCCCAACTTAAATTACTTAACACAGGTTATCAGTGAGGCAACAGTTTTTTAAAATTTTTATTCTCAATGCTGTGATAACTTTGTTGCGACATGTTAACTCGAACTGAAGCAGATCGTTTAGCATTTATTAGAAGTTATCAGTATAAAACTGAGAGCAGAAATAATGTAGGCGAACCTTGACAACGCAAATACAGATATTTATAATTAGTTTCTAACAAGTGTAACTCTAAGATGTAACTAGAATTACTCGAATATGAGCTTAACGCTTTGTTCGGCGCTATGTTTCATACTATGCCGCGCGGGTTCTCTAGTATTAAATAAACTAGGTAGCATTCGCAGAGGCATCCACAACATTGAGCGGAGTCATCAGGGTTTATTTTATACTAGGTGAAACCCGTCGAAATCGACGGTTAGGGGCCTCCTCGTTTATATGGTCGTGTAGCTTCATTGGCAACAAATAATGTAAATGCAATAGCAATGTGGCATATCCTAAGCGAAAAACATACTGTAAATTGGCTGTTACGTAAATATTGACATTTACATGCATTGTTAATTAACGTATCTTATAAAGGATTTAAAAGGAATATGACCTTTCTGTCATGACAGTAGCTGCTTAAATA